ACACGGGGGGGGCAACAACATGATTAATAATTAATTTGTTTAATTTGTCGTCCTCTCACATAATTGAAATTAATTTTAATTTTTATTATTAAACAATATTTAATTATTATTATTATCATTATTATTATTTTTAATCTCTCTTTTTAACAATTTTATTACTATACCTAAGATTATCAATACTTTTATTTTATTTTATTATTTTTAATCGAGTTAAATATAATTGTAAATAAATAAATAAATAATAATAAGCAATTTTATTTTTTTTTTTAGTTAGTTTTGTCATTTTTATTATTATTATTATTATTATTATTATTATTATTATTCACGTGCTAAGGTTAAAAAAAAAAAAATGTTTTAAGGTTATTTTAGAATTTTACATTGAAATTTTATCATATTTTTGTAATTTTCCTAGACCTCCTAATATTATAATAGAATTTACACACACAGAAAAAAAATTTTTAATTAAAATAATTAATTGTTTAATTATTATTATTATTATTATTTACTTACGTTTCGACACTGACGGATGTGATGACGTAATGACCTACGTCACAATTTTATTTTAAACACGCGTGTTAGTACCATTAAAAATGAAGGTCTACGTGATAAACTTGAATATTATTATTATTATTATTATTAAAATTTTTTTTCTCATATCGATGTTTATAATTAATAATAATAATAATAATAAATGCTTATGACGCTAATGAAAAAAAAACAATAATAATAATAATAATAAATAATATTAAATCGTATTAATTTTAAAATTAATCGATAAATGTTTTTATAAATACAAAAAATAATAATAATAATAATAAAATCGTAAAAAATTGTAGTAGTATTTTATTAGCATAAATATTGTTTTTTTATCATCATCATCATCATCATCATTATTATTATTATTATTATTATTAATATTAAAAAAAGAATTATGATAACCGATTATTTGGAAAAGAAAATTTTTAGGTTTAGCATTATTTATTAATTAATTAATAATAATTTGTAAAAGGATGAAATAAAATTTATGTATATATATACACACACACACATAGAAATTTCGAGAAAGAAAAAAAAAACGCTTACGTCATTATGAATGTATATATATCGCTGATAATTAGTGTTATTATTATTATTATTTTCTTTTTTTTTTTAATGGATTAATGGTAAAATAATAATAATATTATAGTCTGCTTAAAAAAAAAAAAAAAAAAAAAAAACGATTGCTTACTTAAATAATAATAATAATTTTCGAATCCGACACAAATAAAAAAAATATTTCAAATACATAAGAATAAATAAATAATGAAATTTGTTTATAATAATAATACTAATAATAATAGTAATAATAATAATAATAATAATAAATATTTGAGTGTTTGTTAATAAATAAAAAAAATTTTTTTTTTTTTTGTAATTTCAATAAAACTTATCGAATATAATTAAAAATGTAATTTAAAGGGAAAAATCAAATTATTATTACTATTATTATTATTATTATTTATTATTATTATCATTATTAATAATTTTTATGTAACTCGTTGCTCGATGTTTTTTTGGAAATGACGTTTTATCCATTACGTATCCTGAGTATAAAAAAAAAAAATAATAAATTTATTATTATTATTATTATTTAATTACAACTTCTCGTTTATTAAATTATTTTAATACAAACACGATAATAATAATAATAAATTATTGTAATTATTATTATTATTTTAAATTTTCCATTTTTTAATTGATTTTTATCGAGTATTGAATAACGAGTAGTGGTAGTTTAATTTTATTAATTATCATTTTATTTTATTATTATTATTATTATTATTATTAATTAATTATTATTATTATTAAAGGGAAGTTGTAATTATATATATAATTAATTAGTTATTGTACTTTTTAAGAATGCAATTATTATTATTATTATTTTAAAAAAAAAATTTTCTTAAAATATTTCAGACTGATACTTAAAATAAAATATTAATTAGAAAAAAAATATTTATAATCGTTACGTAATACGTGTAATACACGTGTACACACACACACACGTATATATATATGTAAACTTAAATTTAATTATGTGTATATATATCAATTAATTATTAATTAATAAATTAATTAATTAACGGGATCGGGTTTGATTTTTAACATAACAATTATAATTCAAAAGCGTCGTCTGCACTCTATTAACAAAAAATTATTGTTTTATATATAAATGACGTCACAGATTTTGTTTTTTTCCGTTTAACTTTTGAATTAATGTTTAATTTTAACTAACATTATTATTATTATTATTATTAACATAACTATTGTAATTTTTATTATTATTATTATTAACAACAACAAATCAAACTCTATCTCGTTTGTTTCTTATTATAAAAAAAAAAAAAAAAAAAACTAAAAATTGCATACAGGGTGATTTGTTTTCATTCGTAGTTAAAAGAGAAACATTTTGTTATTATCATTATTATTTTCAGTTGACTACCGCGCACTACCAAACTACAAAAAAATTAAAAACACAAGATTCTAATTTGAAAAAGAAAATATAAACAAAAAAAATTCACAATACCATTTTTGCCTTAAATAACGAATTTTTTTCTAAAAGCGTCAATTCAATCAATAATAATTTATTTTAAATAAATAAAAAAATAAATAAACACCCTGTATGGAATCAATTTGTGATATGTAGTTTTCTCTCTCTCTCTCTCTTTCTATCTCTCTATCTCTCTCTCTCTCACATTTCGTTTTATAACGGAAAAAAAAAAAATTTGTAGACTGTATATTATTAAAAAAAAAAAAATTTTTTTTTTTGCTTATTTTAAATGTATAAAAAAGAAAATTTAATACTTAGCTTATGCTATGTTATTATCGCGTCTAAACCATCGCTTTAGATAGAATAATATCAATAAAAATTAAATGTTTAATAATAATAATAATAAATAAAATTTCTTTCATCGATAATAAATAAATAAATTAATGTGAGTTTTAATAATAATAATAATAATAAATTATTGTGTCTATTTTTTTAGTTATAGTGCATTATAAATAATTACTGTCCAGGAAAATCATTATATATATATATATATAAATAATTAATGTAAATTGTAATGTTTAAAAAAAAAAAAATCATAATAGTTAACCAATTATTATTATTATTATTATTATTAATAAATAAAATAAAATAAATAAAAACCCATTATGTAATACAATATGTGTAGTGCCTTTTTGTGTGGAACATTTTAACAAATAGATGACAGTTTTATTGTTAAATTTGTCTATTTATTTATTTATTTATTAATAAATTATCATCCAGAATTTTTTAATAGTAAAAAAAATCAAAATCCAACAAATCATTCATTTTGTTTTGAAAGCCATCAAGAAAAATAATAATAATAATAAAAGTATAAATTTCACAACGATA